GTTAGCAAAGCGGGGCTTCAATCACTGAGTCCTGGGCCCCCACCCTGTGTCGGTGATACGCCGGGTTTGCTGCCAGACTCGCAACTGATCACATCCCGACGCGTAAATCTGGCGCTGCCCCAGACGGAGAGTCAGGCCCCGAGAGCTATAGAGCGGTGGAAAGTGGTAGAAGCCGCCGACTAGAGGCAAAAATCCGCATCGAGCCCCAGAAGGCCAAGCGGCGGGATTTAGCTATCGGAACTGAACAGTGCTTTGGACAGCTGCTCTTGGGATAATCCCACGGACAGATCATTCCATCCCAGCAAGTATCTCTAGTCTCCTGCTCGCAGGGAAAGTACTCAGACCTGCAGGATTAGGACACTGCTAGCAAGCGGTGGAGCGAACGTGGGCTGGGTCCATGACTTGGAAGTGCAGGAAGGGAGCAGGTTCTTCTCTGATAATGATATATATGCAGAAACATAAGTCCGTGGTGATCCTTTCAGATAAAAAACAGCCCCTGTTTAGAGATTATCTATTTTTCTAGCTCTGGTCTCCCCACACTGTGAGAGGAAAGGGAAGTTAAGGAAAAAATGGTCTTCAAGGAGAGCAAGAGGGAAGGGAAGTGGGAGAAGTGGAAAAGACAGACCCTCCTAATGCCTCACTAAGGATCCCTAGTGGCGCAGTGGTTCAGGGCTTGCCTGCTGACCGAAAGGAACACACCTGTGCTTCCGTAAAGATTTACACCCTTGGAAATCCTATGGGTCAGTTCTAACCTGTGCTGCAGGGCCGTTTTGTGTAGGAATCTACTGCAAGGCAATGGGTTTGGTTTGGCTTGGTTTTAATACCTCACTAGAGGAGCTCTGGTAGCATAGTGCCTAAGGCACTTGACTGCTAACCAGAAGGCTGGCGGTTCAAACCCACCAGCCACTCCTCGGAAGGAAGGTTGGGCAATCTACTTCCGTAGTGATACCGCCTCAGAAACCCAAGGAGGAATTGCTATGAGTGGGGATCCACTCGAGGGCTCATAACAACAGCAACAACAGGGAAATCCAGAAAGAATCATTAAACTTGTTGAGTGTCTGCCTAGACAGTGCCACTGAAGGGGGCTGCCTGGCTGTCCACATCCACCTACCAGCCTTCTGGGGTACAACAGTAGGAGAAGCGCACAGACCCTTACTCCATTGTTGTTTGGTGAGTGGGCAGTTCCCACTCATAGCTGACCCTATTTAGAAGACTGAAACACTACCTGGTCCTGTGCCATCCTCACAGTCCTTGCTATGTTGGAGCCCATTGTTGCAGCTACTGTGTCCCCAGTAGTATTTTGAGTGATTTTCAACCTGAGAGGCTCATCTTCTGGCACTATATCAGACACTGTCCCGCTGCTATTCATAAGGTTTTCACTGGCTATTTTTTTAAAAAAGTAAATCGCCAGGTCCTCCTTCCCAGTCTGTCTTAGTCTGGAAGCTCCACTGAAATCTGTCCACCATGGGTGACCCTGCTGGTACTTGAAATACTGGTGACACAGCTTCTCACATTATAGCAACGTGCAAGCCACCACGGTACAACAAACTGACAGACAAGTGGTGGCCCCTGATCCTAATCTATTAATCCTGAAATTAGAGAAAGAAAGAATCCTTGGAAACAATGGGAGAGAAAGAACAATCCCTCCCCGGCCCTGGACTACCCTACCCCTGTGCCATGTTCATTCTATGTGAAAATCTCCCTTGCTTCATAAACTCTGCCCATTAAAAAAAAAAAAAACCAGCCCTTGTTAGTAAGTGTTAAAGAGAGATTAATGCCTGAATTTAAGAGGTGGATAAGGTAACAAAAACGAGGAAGGCAGGCAAGGCTGTGGGCTGGGTGCCAGCTGAAGGCTGGCTGCACAGCAGTTTGATAAGGTTTATTGGGTCCAGATAAAGCAGCAGCAGCTCCCCCACCAAAATTGGCACCATTTATAGCCAAAGCTCTGTCCTTGGGTCCTGGGAAGGCTGATGAGATTCCTCAGTTCAGAGATTTCATATGGCAGCTCCTGAAAATAAACAGAATGGAAATTACAACAGAAAACTGTCTCTTTTTTAATGAATGTCCATGTATTTGTTCTATATATGGATATGTGTGTGTGTATGTGTGTGTATGTGTATATATATACACACATACACACATATGGGAACTCTGGTAGTGTACTGTCTAAGGCACTTGACTGCTAACCAGAAAGCTGGAGGTTCAAACCCACCAGCCACTCCTCGGAAGGAAGATGGAGCAATCTACTTCCATAGTGATACTGCCTCAGAAACCCAAGGAGGGGTGGCTGTGAGTCAGGCCTTACTCGACAGCACATAAGAACAACTATATATATATGTTTATATTTATATTTATATTTATAAATTTCTTGGAGGGTGTGGCACAGTGAATTATTTGGTATGGCTTTTCTAGCCCTTGTCTTTGTGACTACCACCAGATGACTGGGTGGGACCATGCAAATGTAAGGTCCTTATGGCCTGGATTGGATGACTCGCTAATAATGTAAATAAGGTTACCTGGCACCCTTGTGTGGGTGGGACCATGGAAATAAGGTGTATGGAATTCTAATGTGGGGATTGGTCAGTTTTGTCACCTCACTAGACTTAAAATGAGCCCTTCCAGATGCAAAAAAAAAGGGGGGGGAGAGCTCACTGCTATCAAGAGAGAGGAGCTGGAGGTGGAATGAAGCATGTCCTTGGACCTGAGATTGCTGCGTTCAACCTTTTGACAGAGAGTAGGCAGAACGTTGGCGGCAGTAGAACCAAGAGGCACGAGACAGAGCGGCGGGCTTGCCAGCCCAAGGAGCAAGAAAGCTAAGTGCCTTTAGGAAGGAAGCTTGCTGGTGGAGTGGGGTGCATCTAGATGTTCCTATCAGTAGAGCTAGAAGAGCTTTGTTACACTGGCCTGAGCAGGGCAGAGGCCAAGCTAAGAGACCGAGGACCAAAGAAAAGTGTACCTACAGGCATGGCTGAGAGGAGGCTGTCCTGATCGAAGAATTGTATCCTGAGCCTTCCTGATCCTGAACTGTATCCCTAATAAATCCCATAATCGTGAGTATTGCCTGTGAGTTCATATTTCCTCAGGCCCCATGGCTATTACAATGAATTTTCGAACCCAGCAGAGAAGTAGAGAGTGCTGTGAGAAGGACAGTTAGTGTCAGAACTGGTAAAAAGGTTGGAAGGTGGCAGCATGTCTGACCTCACAGGAATAGGCCTGGGGCTGCTGATAGTAATTCTCTCTCCCCCTGGTGAAGTTAGAGGAGGTCAAAAGATGCCACCCCTGTTCACTTTTTGCAGAGGGTGTAGTGGGGTAAGCTGGAATGTTAGTTCTGGAGGGTAGTAAAAACAGGAGTGGCCTGAGCCCCCTGTGGAGGTCATGCTGGAGACAGGGAATGGATGAATTGACCCCTGAGTGGAATTTCACTGCTGGATTTTCTTATTTCCTCATTTCCTCCCTTACCCATATGCCTCCACCAGAGGCAGCTTTCAGAATTCAATTTGTAGAAGATGGGTGGATATCGAGTCTAAGGGAATTCTGGGGTCATAGAGGAAAGGGACATTGAGAATCAGAACTCATTCTGAACACTATGAATCCAAACATATCCCCTGTGTTGTTTAATTTGATCTTCATAATATCCTTCAAAATGCAACTATTACTATTATCCCCAAGGAGCCCTGGTGGTGCAGTGGTTAAGCACTCTGCTACACCGTGGGATAAAAGTTGGTGGTTCAGACCTACTCAGCGGCTCTGTGGGA